CCTTCCTTCCTTCCTTCCTTCCTTCCTTCCTTCCTTTCTTTCTGAAATAGGCTGGAAGAGTAAGCTAATTGTGGCCTCTTTCATCTTCAGTGGCTCTGGACTCTGGTTGTTGCTAGCAAATGCCAGGTCAGCCTGTAATAAGGTCTTCCTCATCCAGGACCTTATCATGAGTGAAAAGGTTGCCTTGGTATGTATAACTAAGCCCTGGATGGGCGTGGAAAGGGATGTTTCTCCCTTGGAGATATGCCCACCTTGGGTTTTGGTGTGGAATCAGCCACAACTCCAGGGCAAGAACAGCTATTTTATGCAGGAAATTCTGGTGGCTCTCAGAGGCATTGCCCTGGAGAATATGGATAGTGAGACCCTGTTTGTGAGGTTGGGCTGTAAGGAAGAGATGAGATTGCTGGACCTGCCTCTCTGCTGTGCAACTGTTTTCCTGCCTGAGCTGTTTGATTCTGTGATGGGGTGGGTGATGGAGGTTCCCAGGCTTGTGGGTGCTAGAGGACTTCAACCTTCCATATGTGGGTGTGGAGTCTGAAGCAGCTTGAAAGTTCATGGCCACCATGGGAACCACGGACATGACTCAAGTCATTGAGGGCCCAACACACAGTAGTAGGAGTCATATATTAAATCTGGTTTTTACCTTGTGGCAATGGCAGTATGATCTGATTTGAGAGATGTTAACATCTGTCTTTTGTAATAGTCAGACCACTCTTGGATTGCTTCAGATCTCTCTGGTGCTGCTCCACACCACAGGGAGATAGGTCTTGTTTGATTGGTTCATTCCAGGTGTTTACAATAATGGACCCAGCTGGACTTCAGAGAGACCTTGGGAAATTCTCTGAGGCTCCGCTGCACAGTTTGACTGAAGCCTTAGTTACCACTTGGAATGAGAGTGTGATGATTGCCTTAGTTTGGATCACATCTCTATAACCTCCTTGTTTGTGGATCCTGGGGAGTTTTCAGAAGACTGATGAAGTGATAGAAGAGACTCCTGGAGTGCCCCTACAGAAAGACAAGGAACAGGTCTGACTGAGCACAGGTCTACTTAATATAGACACAAGGGTCTATATTAAAGACTACATCATGATAACAGTCTCTGTCTCCTTGAGTTTCAGTTGGCCCGAACTCTGCTGGCTTTTAAGAAGACCCTAAAAACCTGCTCTTCCCCCCTTTCCCCCACTAGCGCTAGCCCAGGACACTGCACAAGCCTGTTGTAACTATATGAATTAGGCATCTGGCTCCCAATATACAATGGTACCTCTAGTTACAAACTTAATCCGTTCTGTGACTCTGGTTGCAACTCAAGTTGGTCTCAAGTCGAGGTAAAGTTTCCGATAAGGTTCAATGTAAATACAGCTAAAGAGTTCTGAAACATATGCATTTTATTTTTAAACCTCA